ACTCCCAGACATCACATCACATCCACGAGAGAATTTCGAGCAAACAAGTTCTCTTCTGCAGGGGGAAATGCATTAGAAATGGAAGCCACTCCTCGAAAACCAATTTAATCGAACGATTCAGATACGAAAAATTCCCACACGAAGTTGTCTATTCAGCTAAAAAGTTCAAATTGATATTGAACTTTGGGAAATATTTTTGTTATTTATTAAAACCAAACGAGAGTAGTTGCAGGAATATTTATTTATGAATTCACAGAGAAGACTATTTGAAAAGTAGGGAATAGGTATTCATTAAGATCCTGAATTGGGTTATAATCCAGACACATCCTCATTACCATCGAAATTACCCTTCTTCCCTTAAACGGGTTTCATGTCATCGATTAACCGCAATGCATACAATTGAAATGCAGCTCAAAAAGCCCACATGAAAGCTGGTCAAGGCACAGTAAACCCTGTGGTCTGCTGACAACTGAGGTTAATAACGAAAGGAATGAGGATGGAGTCCTTCCCCATATTCATTCATCCTTCCACGCACGCACGACTGACCACACACGGCCACCCTAGAAGTGGAGGGAAAACTCAAAGCGAAACTTTGAGTTCTGCCACGGCTTTCCCCGCCAATTTTCCAATTCTGTTTGCTGTTCGCCAGCATAACTAACTATTCCTCAACGAAAATGTGAAAGTGGGAAGGGACACGTCCTCAGAGTGTCTAACTTTTTGGACGAGTTCTTAACTTGGCAGAGGGATACAGGCCTAAATCCAAATTGCAACAGCCACAGCTCATCTACATTATACAACCAAAAGTGCCTCAATTAAATAAGTAGCCTAATTTTTAAAGAGTTTACTTAATTTCCTTCTCGTTTTCTTTATCTTTCACCTACAATTTCTATTTTCTCTGCATTTAAAAGAGCATTTGAAGAGACCTCGTCATCAGAACCATCAAGTTGATCCCCAATTGCTGGCCCTTTCTACGGTTTTATGACGAAAATTACATGTCCCTATGAAGACCGTGAAAATGCGAGCTACAAGCTCGATTAGGGACTACAAGGACTCTTTATCACAACAATTAGGCAAAGTGCTTTGCAAATTTGTGCACTTTTATAGGCGCAATAGCCCATGGTGGCTAGGGGGCATATGGCTGGCATTATGAATGGAGGCCACTCGAACGACCAGCCAGCATTTATCCATGTATGAGTGGGCTTTTCGGTGCGTTTAACCAATTAGGAAATTACTTGTGTAAAGTGTTTGCCACAACAACAGAAAACCACCAATACAACCTAGAACTTTTTCTTTTTACGAAGTAAAAACAACAAAACGTCGGAAAAGTCAAGGTCCTTTCGCTTAAAGTTTGATAAACATCCATTAACCAAGCCCCATAAAAATCACAGAAAATGCTTTAGTTCAAGGAGATGTATATAATTGTAGGGCCAAGTCAATTTCCTACCTATTTACCAGATGAATATGAACCCGATCTTCTTAAATGATCTCAAAACTTCTGAATATATATTTCGAACTATTTCTATAAATATTTGTTTGAATTTTGGAGCCCAAAGTGAAAACCCTTAACCAACTGATACTAATTAATTAATTTGTTTTTAAAATATACATTTTCCTAAGCCCTCTTCTACTCACTTTCCTAGTCCTGTTTTTCCACTGACATCGGCTTGGGGTTTCGGCTGGCGGCTTCCAACTTTTTAATCAAATATGTGTCAACGCGGATTTATGAAACTAATTGACTTTAAGGCTGCTACATGGACTCCGCCTTCCTACTGGGAGCCACAGCCCAGGCCAGAAAGAATTAATTAAAAAACTTAATCTGCTTTGGCCATGGCAACAAATTCCAACGGTCCTCGGTGGCTGTTGTTTTCGCTGGTTTTGATTTAGACTTTGGCTTTCCATCTTCTTCTATATGAATCTCAGACTGAACTTGAAGTTTGAGTTTAAAATTGAAAGCCAAGATGTTAAATTTAGTGGTATAAAGTTACTCTGTATAAATGTAAATATATTATAAAGTAATAAAATATAATATATATAATATTATAACATTAAAAAAATATATTTATTACATTATATAATTGTTCATAAAGCTCTTAATAATAAGAATCCTTTGGACTCTGCTAAATGTAAAGTGTTTTTAAATTGTTTTTAAATTTGAATTTCCCTTGATGTGTGTTTCCTAGCTACACACTTGGCTCCTCTTTGCCGCAAAGTTAATTAATTATTAATATTTAATTTACAACAGATGTTCCCTGTTTATTGGCGGCTTCAGCTTGCCTTCTAATTTTATGCCAATGCTGTTCCTGTTATTGTTTTATGTTGCTTTTCTGCCCGGAGTTGTGGTTGCTTTAGATGGCTTCTGCTTGGCTGACTTTTATGATTCGCACCCGGGCCATAAAACGCAATTAGATGGATTCCACGTACATAAAGGCCACATGAGAACGTGTGCTCTTTGTTGCCTTTATTTGAAATGATTGAAGTAATCACGGACCACAAATGATTGTCTGAAATAATGGCATTCCCTTTGAAGCATTCCAGTGTGGGATTTGCATCTCGGTGAGCAGACAACGCGGCGTATACGCAATCTCCATTGCAGGCAGCTGACATGTTCCAGAGGCTGACTGAGTGACTCGATTAATGCAAGGCTTAAAGGATAATTGAAGGATGTGTTGTCAATTCGCTTTCCTTCCATGACAGGCAACAAACTGGATTTAATAGGGAAGCCAGAAGAAGCCTTATCTTTGCTGAACGAAAAAATCACAGTCAAAACATGAAGCTTTATTTTTAAAATAACTACAAACTTAACAGAGAAATTTCAGAACTATAAACCTTGCAGAATGATGTTTTCCCTTTCGAAACTCCACATTATTATTACAAAATGTGTCAGGTCTCAAGTCTCAAGTCTCGCACAATGGAATAGAAGACACTTTCCACTCGGGAAACTAATAAATTCAATTTCACGGCCGCTTGGCCTCGTGACTTTGCGAAAGAGCAGCAGAAAAATCTAGAGAAAACCCGGGAAAAAGTAGGGGAAAAGCGACTTCCGGATCCTTTTCTTCGCTTCTCTTAATCCATAAACAGTTTGCCGCCAAGTGAAGTTTAGCCGGGAAGCCGTAAATCAAAACAGCTTAAAATGCTCAGCATAAATCTTCGACGCGATTTGGATTCAGATGACAGAAACCATTAAATCGCGTTTACCAGTCCATAATTTCCCAAAATGAAATGATTAACCAGCCATTCCGGCGATAAGAAGAGACAAACGGCTCATAATTATTGCTTGATTTAATTAAATGGGGCCAGCAAATAACTCAGCCTTGGCGAAAAACAATCAGGGGAAGTGAAATGGAGTCCGATATTATCTGCATTAATTATATTTGTCTTTTGGGTGGTGATGAATTCAAGCGAGTTCTGGCAATTACTTCAGATTATTATCGATATTAATCACAAACATTTTACTAAAACAAAGATTCCTACACTTAATAATGACGATATTTACATTGATATTTATTTTTATATTTAGTTTATAGCTTTAGTTCAAGTTTCTGGTAGGTAATTTCTTGATATTTGGAATTTCCAGCTTCAGCTTTCCTTTTGGAATTCACCTAAAAGAAAGCTGAGAAGCTTCTTAGAACCTCCGTGAGCAAAGTTCCTTGATCCTCAGAGGCACTCAATTATGCGGCGTCCTTCTAAGTCGCCATCGTTTGTCAGTCTTTCCTATTCCGCCCCCTTTTCGCGCCTTTTCGTCCCCTTTTTTCTGTTTTTTCCCCATTTTTCCGTTACTCGCTTAATAATATGTTAATTGACAGCTTAAGCCAACTGTCAGCGTTGGTTGCGTGCCATTTCAGGCACGACATGACAGCACATATGTCTCCTCGATTAGTATGTCTGGCTGCTGTCGCCTTTGTGCCCACCATCAGCCCTCCCTTTTAGCCAAATGCAGTGGGAAAAATTATCCGTAATATCTTAGAGTGAAGAAAGGATTTTACAAAGGCTCAAGAAGACGTCAGAGCTCATTAGCCCAAGACTTTACTCTCTACTCTACTCACTTCGTCTTGAAATAATGTAGAAATAATATTATATATATAGTAAATAATTACATACATTTTCTAGGAACATTTGGTTTCAATTGCAACTTCAAACTTCGCAAGATAATTTTCTCTTCCACTTAAATGTTTACCATCTCTTCTTTTCAGTGTAAAAGTAGTTAAAATTCACTGGCATTGGTCAAGTAGAAAAACAAAACTAGAAAAAACCTAAAGCACACACAAAAAACAGACACTTACACAACGCACAATCAGAGGAAACTAATGTGTACATGCGTACAAGTGTTATCCTTCGGAGCCTAATTGATGCGGGGCACGTGGCGTATACGCAATATTCCATCATTCTGTCCTTGATTCCGGCGTTCGGTGTTATTTATTAAAGTATGCAAATGTGATGAATGTTTGCCCACTCTCATTAGCATTTCCTGTATTGTGTCCGCAGTTCATGTAATGGAATTAAATTAATTTTGCATCATTTTTACATGTTCACGCAGATGATGGTTCTAGAGACAGTGGTTGCACAGTCCATTGAAGTTGGAAAATTAAATAAAGATGAAAACTTAACAATTTCAAAGAGTTAATATAAAACAAATAAGCTTTGAGGCTATTTCTAATTTTCATTATTTTGTTTATAATAATTCATGAGCTGGATAAATAGAGGATGTCGCTGTTACAGTCATTATATATTAAGAAAATTGATTATAAATCCACCTCAGAACCACTGTGTGCCACATGTCACTTTCGTTTAGTTGGGCGAACAAAAAAGAAAACATATCACCATATTGCCCGCCCACACGACAACGGCCTTGACTGTCCATCTATTGTGTGGGGGCGGGAGGGGGGCATGTGCATAGATGCGGATTTATTGCCGTCTCTATGGCCACGTATCTGTATCGCCATCTGTATCTGCCAGTTCATATCTAAAATATTTATTGCGCCACTTCAATTTGTCTCTTTCAGGGGGAGATTACCCACGGAAATGCAAATCAGGCGACGGGCGTGCCAGGGGGCGAGCCGAGAGCCACACAATAGATCCAACTGAAGGCGGGGAGAGCTCGTTACAAGAACCCCTACCAATCACACACCTATTTTGGCTAATCCAGTGCAAAGATGGATATATCGATGCTATTGTTGGGCAGCCTAATTAGTGGCTGGCCCAAAGCCTCTTTGGGGGCCACCAGCAATGAGGCCAGCAGCAGCAACAGCAGCGGACACAACACTAGCAGCAACAACTCTGCATTCTCCTCGGAACTCTCGGACCACAATGCCAACGATTCCATGGAATACGATGCCGAGAGTGTGGCCCTCGAGCGCATCGTCTCCACGATAGTTCCGGTATTCTTTGGCATTATCGGCTTTGCCGGACTCCTCGGCAACGGACTAGTCATACTGGGTAAGTGCACTCTGCGAAAATCTAAGCTAATACGTGGATAATAATAATAAAGTGACTTGGACTTATTTCGAAGAGTAAATGCAAGGCCCTAGAGTTGGTTTTTGCTGAGAGTTGTATTTTATAATAATATACATTTGATAATCTCTCTAGTTTATATATTTACATCTTCTTTTTCCCTAATTTAATGAGAAATACAAAGCTATTTTCTTCTGGTGTAGGGACGACCCTTGCCGCCATAAAAAGCTGTACTCGCATCCGACCAACGCTTTCATTAGCGACCTCCAGCAAATTATGCGTAATAATTGCAAATGAAGCCGGAACAGGAGAGGTGGGAAGAGGGGCATAAAAATACAAGAGCTGAGCATTCAAGCGGAAGCTAATTGATTTTTTATATCCCATTAAGGTACGGCGAGGGAAATGGCAAAGAGGTGTGAGTGCAAGTGTGACTGGGGGAGGTTTCCTTCTCTGGCTTCAAGGGATCATTAAGATTGCACTTTTGCAAGCATTGCACGAAATTTAATACCTTTTACTACACAAAACAACATCTTTAAGATATAAATATGAATAAACAAATACAAATTGTTTATAAATTTAGATAAATCCTAACGAAACCTTTAGGAAGAATATAAAATCTATCTATGATCTGAAATATATCCTAGAAATAATACCAACAAGTAAACCAGATTTAGTTTTTATAAAAACTGTAAATATATCTTAAATAAATTTGTTGTTATAGCTTTTTCCAGCTCTTTCCACAATCTTTTTGAGTTTTTCATCTTTTAATTGAGTTTCAAGACTTTTTCCTGCCCCAAAAAGTAGGCTATAGAAAAATGTGCAATGCGGTTAAGAGAACTGAAGGATTTCCCCTCAAAGCACTTAAGGTGGTGTGTGTCCTGTGTGTGTGTGTGTCCTTAGAGATGTATCTGTGTGTGTCCTATCATCAGCAGTGCCCACAAAATCTCAACAGGCAAACACATTTTGCATACAATTTTTTGTTGTTCTTCCTTGTTGCAACGTTGCAATCTTCGTGTGAAATTCTCAGAGGCCATCTCACCTCACCTGCTGGCCACACCCACTAGGGTCGCCTTTCACCTTACAGCAAAAAAAAAAGATAAACAAAGGCAGCAAAAAATAAAGGTGGATGCTCTAAGAAAGGCTAAAAATAATAACAACGAAGGAGGTGGCGATAAAAATGAACCCGAGACGTTAGGAGGAGAGTATATAGTATAGTGCATAGTCAATGTGAGAGTTTATAGTTTAATATCAGTAGAAGCTAAAGGCTTTTTCTCAGCTTGAAGGAGAGGATATTGTAGTGGCAATTTAAATACATTTAAATTGTAATTAAAATTGTATTTAAAAAAAATTAAAATAATAAAAGTACATAGTATTCTTTTCTGTTATTCCATACGTAAGGAATCTCAGCTGGATTCAAGCTCCTTCAAAGTTATCCAAGAAACAAATGAGTTGGTGAAAGGCGTTGGGTAACAACACACCCACTGAAAAGTGTTTTTCATGTCGCTTTGCTCTGTTCAGTCTCTTTCTCTTTCCATCTGCCGACAAGCTGAGGAAAACTTTTATTAAAGTCGCAAGTGGCATCCTATTGCCTGTCTGCCCACACCCACGCTTTTTCCGAGCCTCCGCTTTCAATTTCCCTTCGAATGTGGGAAAGCCACTTTGTCAATTTGCTGCGTTGGCGGCATTATGATAAATGATTTGCAAATGAACGTATGGATTCTGTGGCAAATTATGAAGGCAAATATTAGAGGCAAGAAAGTGGTGCCAGAAAAAGTTCTTAGTTTGTAAAAAATGAGAATGCACCACCATTAATATTGGGAAAAGTATCCCAGAAACCTAAAAGACTTCAAGGGGCAATACAAACTTTAATAACTTGTAAGTCTGTTTCTTATTTAAAACCATTTTAAGAACCTAAAATTCAAATTAATTAAAATAACAATCCAGAAGAAGGATCTAAATATTTTAAGAAATATTTTTAAGTCAAAATTCCTATATCCAGTGTTATTTTTAAGAAACATATTATTGTCTTTCATTGCTGACTTTATTATCCTTGACGTTCAATCATATTTGTCCGATATTTTATCGGAGGAGTGCACTTTGTGTGCACTTCATGGGCAGATAAGTCAATTTCCAGCCGCAAACACACCCGACACATTGATAGATGGAGGCAGGGAATCTTAATTAAACCAAAGGAATATAGAATTCTTATAGAAAATGTCTTTGTACTTTTGAATTTAATATTTTAAACATTTTTTTATTTATCACAAGTAGTATTATTATAACCAATTATTATTTTCTTAATACATTTCTCCAATTTAATGCGTAAATTCACTTCAAATTGATTTAAGAAGTGAATTTATTTCCTCGAATAAACCTTGTTTGTTTCTGTGTGAATAATCTGACAGGCAATTCGCCAGAATTCGAATAAACAACACGATATTTTTGGCAAATATATGCACAAGTTTCCACAGCTCGGACACAAACTGTCAACAGCAATTTGTGTAAATCCACCGCAGAAGCACAAGCGAGCTCAGGGAGCTGGGATACGCAGATCCTGAATCCAAATGCTTAATTATAATTCATGTTTCCACAATATTTTTGGGTCCTTGTCGCTTTGATTTGCATAAGCCTTTGTCAGGCGGCTTCTATCTCGGGAAAACTTGTCGCTGGAAATTCGGATTGAAGATTGTAATTCGTTAGACGAGAGGAAACGTGACTTAATTCCCCTAGAACAATCCTTTTCTTCACTTCTTGCTAGTTCGCGGTGAAAGAAATTGACTGATTTCCGTAAGACAAAGCGATTAATATTACATAGATTATTCAGAGGCATTTAAAGAAACAAAGGATACAGGTAAAAGCTATATAAATAAAAGAGAAAAAGGTTCAAGAAATTTAAATTAAAATTAATTTAAATTTATTGATGGGAAATCTAATTATGGGAACAAAGTGACTTTAAAGTTAAAGTCCAAGGTATTTTCCAGTTGGGACAACCCTAGCTTAGTCCTTTTTTAAGCCTTTTCCCCAGTTGTTGTGCTGTGTCCTGTCAGGACTGGCAAATTCGATTTTGGTCCCAAACCCACAACATGTTTCACATTCGTCACAGCTTTCCCTTTTTTCCAAATCCTTTTGATTCAAAGCTACGACAGATGGAACCGCAGAATCAAGTTAAACGAGAACGTAACACGATTTTCGAAGCTCCAGTTAGAGGGATATATATGTCCGAAGGAAGGAAGGATTGGAAAGAGGCGGCAGGAGATGTGATAAGTTTACACATTTGCAAATTCAAAGTAGTTTGCAAGGGTCCATAATTTGTTTTCACTTTTCCCATTGTTAGTATGAGTTTTCGCTGGAAAATGCATTTCACATTTCCCGCACTTTTCCTCGAATCGCATGTAAACATTAACCATTGTTTAGCTATTTATTTTGTAATTTTTTCACAACTAGATTTGTTTCCCAAGAACATTAGCTAATGTTCAATGGAAAATGTTGAAGGAAATAACTTTTCTTTTCTATATTTTTCCAAGTGCTAACCCTACTTTTTCTTGTTTGCTACAATTTAGTCAAGGTTTTCCTACACTTTTCCCAGATTTTTTTTGCTTTGTTTGATAATTCCTGAAAAATACCAACCATACAAGGCAGCTACACATGCATGAGGTATGTACTTGCACCTGTAAATCCTGGTATGTGTGTGTGTGTGTGCTGGATACACCTGCTATCCTATCCGTGTTTAATAGACCAGCATCGAACACTTTATTATCGGAGACTGTCAGGCACTTTACTCCTTGGATAAGCTTCAATCTTTCGAGAGCTTCACATATTTCCTTCGTTTTTTGCCATTTTCTCTAACGGTATAAGTACACTGATCGAAATGTGAACCAAGAAACCATAAAATGTTGAGTTTATAATGCATTATTTATATTATAAATATATTTTGTTGCTGAATCTGCTTTTATCAGGATAATTATGATACCTTTATTAGAAGATTTACTTAAATCTCCAAAACACAATGTTTTTACTTAAAAATGTCAAAATATTTCATCAAAAATCTAAATAATTATTTAAAAACTCTAGAAATATACCCTATCCTTCCGTTTAATCGACTTTTCCTAGGAAAGGGTTATCTAATTCTGGCTAATTTCTTCGAGTGCACGCTTTCCCCTCCCATCCTGACAGTTGAAGGATGTTGCAGGCTGCACGTAGCTGCAATTTGCGGAAACACTTGCGAGTATTTCGTGAAGAAATCCGTAAAAACGTACGCACAGAAATATGCAATGAAACGGCATTTAAGCAGCATATGGCCAGAACCTGCGTATGTATTTGTGCGTGTTCCTTGGGCAAATTTACACACAAATCCACCAGGCGTACAAATTTATTATCCTGCGTTGATAGTGATAAAATTTATAACCGGCATTGAGTACAGCGCCTAAAAGCAGGCAATACAAACACAAACATGCCCGCACATGCAGAGACAGACAACAATGCCCAAGTGGGCCACACTCACACACAAACACACACACACACAAACATACATTTCAAGCACACACAGGCAATTGTGCGTGGGCGAAGAGGACATTCTCTCTCTCCCTCTCCCTCTGCCTCTCCCTCTCCATCCCACTCACTCTCGCTCTACACACTCGTCATATTTATGCTTTTTTATGGGCCATGTACAATTTTATTGTTTTACTTTTCAATGCAATGTCTGTGGGGGGGGGGTCTGCTACACACACAGGGACAGGGTTACACTATATACATGTATATACAATATACGTAAGCTCACACTCGGAGTCAAGATACTAGTACTTATTTGCAGAGACTCTAGGATTTTGAAAATAAATTTTAAATTTAAAATATAAAATCAGTTTGGTGAATGCCAAAAAACTAGCATTATTTTCAAGCAAAAATAATATTTTAAAAATAAAATAATACTATATAAATAGTAATAATTATTATTATAATCAAATAATATAATACAAATACTAGAGCCC